TAATAGAAGTGCACACTTTGGTATGCGATAATTTTCAATGGTTTGTTGATTTTTTGGGGGAGATGTCTAGCGCACATTTTAATTTAGAAAAAAAATATCGGAGTGAATTTCATCGTTTAGGAAAAAATATGCTTATTACGCGTCTGATGACGCGTTTTTGAGGTTTTTTGACTCAAGGCAATCGTTATTTCACAGTCAGGGTCATAATAGTCAGAATAAGAGTCACGAGGGTCAGAATAACGGTCAGGAGGGTCAGATTAAGGGCCCGAGGGGCATAATGGGGGTCCTGAGGGTCAGGTTAAGGGTCACAAGGGTCAGAATAGGGATGATGAGAGTCATCTGTGGGTCATTGCAAAGCTTTCATTCGAATTGAAAAGGGAATGCTTGATTTCACTGAAATGTGGCTCGATGAAAATTTTGAATCCCGTTGTTTCATTCTATACTCCTTCAGCCCTCATGATGCGATCTGATAATACGTTGGAGACTCAAGTGAACATCACCCATCGCGAGTAATGCAAGGAATCCCCATTACAAAAGAACAAATCAACAGAATAAAGAACGAAGCCAGGGGCTTTTGCATAGCAGTAACGCTGTTATTAGATAACAAACGAAAATAAAAACGTCAAAAGCCCGATAGGCTCACGCCGTGATCATCACCCGAGACCTCAGCTCCATGAATATTCATCCATCCCACTGGACACGAGCAGGAGTCGTCCTCACGCCAATGCGACATTTATTTATCGAACACTCAAGACGCGAGTGTGAAAACTCGTTGCATTATCATTCCTCCCCGAGCATAAAGTAAACGATTGGTTTTAAAGTTCTGCCATCATCCTGGTGACAAATATATTTGTCCTCCTGAAAGTCATCAGCGATAAGCGGTGAGACATTCAGTCGTGGTGAGAGGAGTTTTCAAACTTCTCGCCGCTGATACAACTCTTTACTTGGAGTGAAGAGAAGAATTCCTTGAATGTTTCTGCAGATTCTCTGAACTGAGAGGTAATGTCACATCTATAATCTGCTTGAAGTTATGAAGATGGACAGTTCTCCCCATAATTGATACTGAAATCTTCAGTCTATTAAAAAATAGTCCGATCGTAAAAAAAATGGCGCTCAAAATCTGCGAATTACCGCGAAAAATGGAAAAATTATATTCTCCAAAACGAATCGTGGCAATCTCCCTCACAAATCTCGGACAATGGAAACGAAGTAAAGCAGCTCGCCTCCACCATCAAGAACTTCGCCCCCCCGATCTCTTGAGCGTCACGAGGCACCATAAATAAGTCCGCGTCGAATCGTCCGATCGTGCCGATTTACTCGCGCCGACCGGTAACGTTCTCACAATTATCGCATGGGCGCAGGCGCACCAACTCCCTGGCTTTGCATGACTGCGCGCGCAGGCGTATACTAGTGTATCGCACGCCGGGTTGTATATAGTAGCCGCTGTTTGCGGTGATAGATAAAGACCTAAGAGCGAGCGGCGGAGGGGGCGGGGGGTGAGTATCGCAAGGGGCATTAGCATTTGCTTGTACGTGCTCGGGCTTCCCACGGTGGAGTACCTGCCACCTATCGTTTTTCTCGGGCTTTGCGGAATAATAACGAGCATCCCTGGATTATCCAGAGGCGGGAGAGACCTTTGAGCCTATCGGAAATGACCGGATGTGATAGGGAGACGCGAAGATTATTGGATTCTCGGAAGTTGATGCTTTGGAAAAAAGCGTAATAAGATAGAATACTGATGGGAATGTTTTCAGCGGTCCGGGGACATGTGCGAACATCGCGGTGATTGGTTACAAAATGATTGATTTGTTTATTGATTATAGACCCGACAGCTAGGGCCAAATTAAACAGATTCATTTATTCATGATAAATTGAAATGTTTTATGTCACGGCTACGTCAGAAGTGCGACTTTTGCTTTTTTTCCGTGCAATAAGTTGCGAATTGTGACCTTATGCATTGAGCAATTGCACGGTGCGATAAGTAACGACTGGGGCGATAGACAGGCGCCACCAGCGCCGCCGGTGGCATTAATAGAGAACGTCGCGAGCGAGAACGTCACGTCATGACGAGAGCTGCAATGTGCAGTGGTGTTCAGTCCCGTTGACGTTGTCGTTAGTTACCAAAGAGTATTTTTGTTAATATGAAAGAGTATTTTTTGTTAAAATAAAGTTTATTATGTTCAACAAATTGAAAGAAGTATTATATGAAAGTTATGGAAGACAGTTTTTTATCGTTCGAATAAAGTGAATTGTGTTAAAAATGAGATGATTGTATTTCAAAAATAATCTTTTCTCTTTGGAATAGTTGGGCCTTTCTGCAATCAAAAATTATCAATAAATTGTAGAAGAGAGTTCTTTTCCATTCAAATAAATTCCCCCTGGATCCCGTCTTGCGCCCCCACCCGCCTCTCCCTAAACGTTGTCGCACTTCTGATTTAGCCTAGACATGAAATAGAATTTGATATTCGGACGATAAGTGGCAGGTTATGACTCGTTTGCAAACTTCACACTCGTCATAATCTGCCATTTAATTAATGCATGCAATTATTAACAATCTATTGTGTGGAATATACACTATCTCTTCGTAATATACATCCATTAGACTCCAGTCCATGGCAGCATTAATACTCTGAGAGAATGCACTCGACTTCATGATTCTCATTCGCTGAGAGTAAGAAAATATTTCTGGGTGTGTATCCGAGATTACCCTGTCTACAGTTTCTATAAGTGAAAGAAAGAGACACGTGACACACGCGAGTGGCACGCGCGGCGCGCGCTCGATACACACCTCTCACTTTGGGTTCCAATGTCTACCTTGAGAACTGGTTCTCATCGTGAAATAGAAATAAACGTTGAGAATTAACTTTACGGCGCTTTATAGTTATGATTGAAGATTCCGAGTCATGCAACTGCAATTAACTCGGTGAGTTTACAGGGGGGGGGAGGGGGGGCGGCTAAGCAGGGGTATAATGGGCATTGTGGATTAATGAGTTAATTAAGGGACATTCGACTCTTCAAATTATTATCGTCGAGAAATCCCAATATTGGAGGTTTATCTTGAGTGAAGGCTCCTCTCATTCCGATATTTTTCGTCATTCTTTTTTACTTCTGTTGATATTCTTTGATAGAAGTGGAACAGACTCTTCCAACCCCTTTAAATGGTGCCTCCTCGCTGAGGTAAATGTAAATCAGGGAGGATAAAAGGTTTAACGAGCTCATTGACTTTCACTTCGTACTTCAATTTTTACCATTTTTCTTTTCTTTTATTTCTCCTGCCTCTCCATTTTCTTTCTGCATTTGAGATGAAGAGCTGAGGATGAATGCACTGAATGAATGCAGGAAATTAAGGATTAATGAAATACGGAGGATCTTTTGCGCTCGTTAGGGATAACCAAAAAAGGAAAGGGTTTATCATATATGTATTTACTGGGGGAGGGGTTTGAGTGCAGGAGGGTAAACCGTGGCCCACCTTTTCTTATCCGACAATTTTTTCTCGTACCATTTCTTTCTCCCACAGTTTTTCCTTTGACATTTCCTCGAAAACTCGTGCTAGCGCTAATTTTTTCCGCTTTTGTCTTCCTTTATGTCCTTTTGATCATTTTATTCATAAAAAAAATATATTATTGAATATTTAATTTCCTTTAATCATGATGGATGTGTGTGTGTCTGGGTTAAACATTATTAAGGACAAAAAGGATTCACTTCTGATGCTCTTTGGATTAATGGGTGAGATATCCAGTGGAATCATTTTCATTGAAGATAATTCATTAATTATTAGTTACTAGGGGGCTTCGCCTCAACCATTCAACTCTGGTGTCAGAGTTGAACACTGAGAGAAAAATATGATTATTCTGACTATATTCCATCACCATCGAATTATAGTCAAAAAGTCCTCAACAATTTTTACTTTACTTTTACTTTTGAACTTTGGTTAGTTCAACTGCATTTTGATTTGCAAAAATTACGCTTGTGAAGTTACTATGATGTTATGTGCCGCATACAAAAAAAATTGTATCGTTCACCAAAACTGCCTCAGCTATTTTCTTATTGTAAATCAAACTTCAGATTTTTCTCTCAGTGAAAAGCAGAGTTGTGACAACATTGTCCAGTGGGGTCTAGGAGTCTCCCCTGGTTAAAATATCATCTTTAGAATCATTTGCACGCCATTTCCAGACTCGCTCTTTCATTCGGGCCCACAAAAACGTTCACACCATGAATAGACACTGCCGACCCTTGGAACAAAGATGCCCTCGACTTTGATTCAAACACCTGTTTTTTTAGAAATTGCTTCAAATAAAAGTCGCGTGACTTTCAACGCATTCATGGGCGCAATGCCTTGAATTAAGCGCTCCGTCCTCAAACGAGTCTCGGATTTTCCTCAGTGCAATTGGGTTTGAACCGAGTCGTCTGGGTAATATGTGGGATTTTTGAGGATAACGTCGTGGATCAATGGTGATTATGGGGGATGGAGCTCGTCCTACTTTCCCTTGCATTGATCCCCAATAAAACGAATAAATTAAATTTGACAAGATAACAGTGAACCTCGTTATCACCTCTTCCTAATTGCTGAACATGAATCAGAATTAACGACGACGGATAGCCGATGCGGATGAATTAAGTTCATCAGATAATCAATATTTGTCACCGGAGTGTAGCAAGCCACCATCAATCACTCGGTGAAATGCGCCTTTTGTGGTGCGTTCCAATGCATGCGGCATACAGACAAGTGTGGCTCCGCATTGACGGCATCAAAAAATCGCAATTGTAATTAATGTCTGAATAAAAATTTGATGAATGCTCATTATTCGTCGGGCATTGGAGCACTCCATCGACATTTGAGTTGCATCAAACCGGCGAATTATTCCCGGGGAAATCCCGATGCGCTGTATCGACGGGTCATGCAGGGACAATCAATTATGTTTCGCAAATTATTCAGTCGCTCATATTTTTTCTGTTGTGAAAATGGTCAGAGAGAATTGAATATTGCTGTTATGAAACGGTTTCAATTCCAGGACATTCGTATTCTAGTTTATTTTTCTTTTAAATGAATCTTTCATTAATTCAATGGTATTACATTTCCAAGTAGATTAAAGGGCGTTATTGATGGGATAACGAGGGACTGTGGTTGAATGTGCGAATCCATGTAATCCAAACGAAATCCGGTGAATTCATTCATATTTACTGAAGCCCTGGTTTGGTAATATACACACGGGTTTGTATAGATTACAGATATCCATTTAATTCAGAGTTAAACCGAAATTGTGAATCCCTCTGGGAGGTGAGTAAATAATTCCTCAAATGAGCATGTGGAAACCTGAAAATATTCCAAAACCAGACGGAGGGAATGGTTGAGTAAAGATTAACTATAAAATCGAGGCAAATTTTGTTATATCAAAGGTAATCGTGCACACGGAGAGAACAGTTGGATGAAAATTGCCTCGGAAATCGTGATACAGTTTACTATATGAATGGCAATCGTGGAGCGAAATGTAATTCAGTTAAAAAATACTGGTTTTGACGTGGATTCGTCTATATGGTTTCAATTGGGACAGCTATTTACCGATCATGACGTGGTGATCGCCCTGATAACATGGACGACCGATGGTTTACCCATTCAAACTTGTTCAAATTGTAGCTGACAGTAGTAGTTCCTCTTCGGCTCATTCGTTTCTGTATTGTTTTTTATTGCTGTTCTGGAAGCTCCGATGTTGTCATATTTTAGAGAAAGTTGAGGATTTGTAAAAGCAATTGATTGAAGTACCAACGATAAACCGTCGGACGGCCATTTTTCTTGGTGCAGGCGATAGCCACCAGACATCGCAGCTATTTATAGGGGAGGATGGGGCAAAACGGCCCCCCTTCATTCGTCAATATTTTCCGATTCAATAATCCGATTGGGATGAGTTGGAGCTCGTTTTGAAGAATGAAAAATTATCTTCAAAATGAAGTTGAAACTGGGAATTTTCACAATGTCATTCACAAGTTATTGACAATTGAAGGGGGGCCGTTTTGCCCCACCCTCCCCTAGCGTCCCCAATATGGGAGGTCATTTTGGAATTCTAGACAATTCTAGACATTTCGAGGTAATTCGAGAAGTTTCTTGACATTTCGAAAAAATTCAATGAGTTTCGAGAAATTTCGAAGACATTCAGGGAGTTTCTAGAAAATTCAAGGGAATTCAAGGAGTTTCTAGGAAATGCAAGGGAATGCAAGGAGTTTCTAGGAAATTCGAGAAAGAAGGAAAGACCATGGACGTATCCTCGTACAATTACGATTTTCTCGGTAAAAAAATACATCTGTGGATGCAAAAATTATCCTCCTGTTTAGTCAAATTTCCCTCACCGGCAGGGGATTGTTTTTTGACGGACGGAAGTGAATTTTTACTAATCGGGTTCGGCGAAAATCATTCTCCGTTACAGAAAAATTATACGAAAAATTGGAGCACTTATTCACGTTCACTGGGATAATTTTTTATGGGAGGCGGGGTAAATTTGACAGTTTCGGTACAAATCACCCTGACGTTTAGTAAGTTTTCCCGGGCCAACGGCGTAAAATTCACAATTTATCTGGCACTTTTTCTACTATTTAAGGTGAAAAAGTACTGCAAATCGAGGTTGCTCCACGATTACTTGATTTGTTTGGTAATTTTTCTCCAACTTTTTTCTCCGTGCATGAAACGACGTAAATAATATGGATAATTAAAACTTACTACATGCCACATATGTCGGGACAACCTTCATGCCACACTTTCTGACAAGCCGGTGGACAAAACATGCACTCGACGAACTCTCCAGAACCCAATGCGATAATTAGGATAATTGCAATATTCATTACCTGACGAGCGTACATTTTGTAAGAAGTTTTACAACGTTGCTTTAGCCAAGAGCGATTGTGAATACCAGTAATGGAATACGGAATGGAGTTGTATATATGCGGAGTTTTATCAACTGACATGCACGCCAAGTTACAAATTATGAGAGGATAAGAGGAATGGTCGTTCCACAATCGCGAAGCCTGAATTCGTAAAGCTACCAGGTCATTTGAATATTAGAACAAGTTCTCACAAGTTCATGAATTAAAATGCTACTGTCACGTACAGCAGTGGTTAGATATATATACATTGCAACGGTAAAAATTTTCGTCTGAATTTGCTGTGCCAATTTCCGGAAATTTTCATCGTGTTTAATTTCCACGGAAATTTCAGGAAATCTTGTCATTGAACAATCAAGTATTCCATTGATTTTGTGTTGGAATGATCTGAAAATCAATAAAATTCTGGATTTTTCAGTCCAATCATTCCGTGAAAATTCCGAAAATTCAGGGAAAATTGAAAATTCGTCATTTTGTTTCAGAATATTTATGCTCCATTCAAAATTCAATCAAATTATGCCATTTTCATCTCACTTCTACTGAAAATTTATGAATTTCCTTAAATTTTACCTAAAACTTGAAATATCATGAACATTTTAGTAGTAATTTTGATGAGAGTAATATTAAATTCCATTTGGAAGAAAAAATTGTGAAATATCAACTGTCTGAAAATACAATGAAATTTCAAATTTTCAAGGAGCACGAAGGAGAGTTTCTTCTTCCCTGAATTTTCAGTGAACTGAAATTTGATGATAGATTGGCAAACAATATAGATGAGTTTCTAAAAACAGTGACATTACTCTGAAAAATGGTAACTATGTCACTGAAAATTGGTGACAAAACTCACTCACTAAACTTCACAATGACTATTTCCAACCAATTCGGGATAAATTCAGTAACGAAGTGGTAGAAAGATTTAAGTCGACTTATCTCCCAGTCGAGTTTTTGAGGAATATTTCCGAATCTAAGGGAGATAGCGAAATTTTCTTAATTACATTTATTGTAGCTCTCAATCGGCTCTACAAAAAAGGATATTACAAAAATTTTGCAATCTCCCTTAGATTCCGAGATATTCATTGAAAACTGGCCAATAGTAAAAATTGACTTATACCGTTTTACAACTTCGCTACTGAATTCTCCAAATAAAATTTTCTAAATTGTCTACGCGACATATATCGACATCTCAATACTGTTCGAGTTATTGTCACAACGAAAAGACCTGAGCTGACTCCATCCGAAAATTTCCCCCGAAAATATCAATTTACAATCACAACAGGAATTTCTTTCCCCAATCTAAGAATAAGAAATTAGATACCCAAATATTATCGTGTCCATGTACAGTTTCGCCTGTCCAAACAATGAAAAAGCCCACAAGAAGTAAAAATCCCCGAAAAAGGCTAATGGAGAACAAAAAGTGCGATCTGTGTGGCGGAGAGGAGGATTTTCTTGAGACTGGCAGGCTCATTGTCCCGTCGGTTAGAAAAACCAAAAGACGATACAATGGACCCGTAGAAAGCTTGAATGGCGAGGAGCGTAGTAATTCCCGGGGTTTCCCGCTCTCGCTTATTACGTTTTCTTTATATTCTAATGCAGTTGATGCTGGGTCAAAAAAGAGGCAGAGTTGGGAGAACAAAGAGCGAGGGAGGAAGGGAGGGAGGAGAGCGCACGCCGGAGGAGCGACGTGGCACACGCCTCGTCTTCCAATCGCAAATCCATTGTCCACGTAACCTATCTCGGATCTTCGTAGTCATGGGGTTCATTCTCTTTCTGTCTCTCTCTCAGTGCTTCCGCGAAGTCAGCGGGTGGTCTAGATCTCGAGAATGAATGCCACGCGAGTGAGATGCATCTTGCTTAAACTTGTCAGGGACTTTTCCGTTTGAAAATCTTTACTTGAAAAAAAAATGAATCTTTACTTGAAGAAAAAAATTGAAAATTTCTGTTGAAATTAGGTGTTGATATCAAATATTTATCAAATACTCAACCATTGTGTCCATTTTACCCCAACGTTCCACTTTGCCCCTCCCTCTCCTCCAGATTTCGGAAAATTTCTTTAAACAGGATATACTTGGATATCCATCTCCCGCAGATATGAAATTTTCACCAAGACAATGGCAGGCCGGCACCCACGCGGAGCCCTCCCCCTGCGAACCAATTGAAATACATTGTTCCATGCGCCCACCGTACATGCCGTCAAGATTGGAGGTTATTATTGTTTAATGCGAGCAATAACGCGGCATTAAAGTACGAATCCCAGCACCGTAATTCCACGGTTCTGCACCAGAGGATCTCAACCGGTTCGAGCCCCCACATTGTTGCAATTTTTATTTCTCCAATTATTCGATACGTGAGCGCCCCTGGCGCACCCTCGGACGAGTAGAGCAAGACGGGTGATTCTCACCTCGGTATCTCCATCGCACTGAATCAAAAAACATTAATTCAATATTATCGAGATGGCGGCCAGGTGGCGTTGGCTTATATATTTCAACTGTAATACCACGGGCATCTCAATATGACCACCATCAATGAGTGCCGCGCCGATTGAGAGCACTGTGATTGCCGATAAAATCCGAATGCACGTCCTCCCTCACGCCTCGTCATCTGAATTTTCCCTTCTAAAAAAAGGCATGGGCAATATCGCGAATCGAAAAAAAAAACTCGAACATGGCGTATAGCTCGAATAAATGGAGAAAGTCAGGCGGTTTTCGTGAGTACAATCGTCTCGCGGCGAATTTTCATGAAGCCCGTCTAACAAACAAAATATAACAGATGAAAGAGAATACTCTTCTATGAAAAATGAACGAATGAATCGTAATTATCCAAATGGTTGGGGTGAGGGGAAAATAGAATAACTCTACTTTCCTAATATTGCGTTGAGAATTGGGAGATGATCGCACTTTTTTTTAAAAGATGATTTCCTTGATACAGAAAAGAATATTCTCTTGGCAGCTGTGTGAACTTGGAGTCGAAGTTTGATAAATCGATTTTTTTTCTTATAGTATCGATTGTACTCAGAGAGTACCTGAACGTACGACATTCATTTTCGTTTGTACCCCGCATCCCTAGACGTAAGGGGTGCGGAAAAAATCGTGCCGCGTCGGAAATGAAGGTACGGAAAAAATTTTCATGAGCAAGGATTCAGCACGGATAGTACTTGTATGTACTAGATTTTTCCATTTCATTGATCAACCCCTTCAATACTTTACCCGCTTCTAAAATCTTAAATGTATGAAGGACGTCAGGAAAACATACAGATAACTTCTAAATCGTTAGTACTCGTTTGTACCAATGAAAAATATTCATTATTATTATTATTATTCTAATCAAATCACCTGATTCCATTTTTATCAACCGTAAAATCATCGTAATGGATTCCATATGTAGTTCGTGAAGTTTTGATGTGGGTACGTCTCATCTTCCGTACTTACACTCCCATTGCAGTACAAACGGAACAATTTACTGTACATGAAAAAGAGACAAAGTACAAACCATTGAGAGTTTCAAAAACAGTCGTAGATTATTCAGAAAAATGATACAAACGTTTTACTGAATTTTTCCGAGATTATCGCGAAAAACGAAATGGCCAAAAAAAAATAATTCAATTTATCTTTTATAGGGTGTAAGAAGTGGAAAAACGCAATTCTGAGCCGTCCATCTTCCTATAGGGAACCCAAAAGTGGTTTTAAGGCTCTATCTCTCATAGTTTCCGAGATAATCGCGAAAAACGAAATTGCCAAAAAAAATTAATTTAATTCATCTTATATAGGGGGTAGGAATTGGAAAAACGCAATTCTGAGCCGTCCATCTGCCTACAGGGAACCCAAATTTCCTCAGGAATCGAATGGAATAGGTTTTAAGGCTCTATCTCTCATAGTTTCCGAGATAATCGCGAAAAACGAAAATGCCAAAAAAAATTAATTTTATTTATCTTGTATAGGGTGTAGGACGTGGAAAAACGTAATTCTGAGCCGTCCATCTGCCTATAGGGAACCCAAATTTCCTCAGGAATCGAATGGAATAGGTTTTAAGGCTCTATCTCTCATAGTTTCCGAGATAATCGCGAAAAACGAAAATGCCAAAAAAAATTAATTTAATTCATCTTGTATAGGGTGTAGGAAGTGGAAAAGCGCAATTCTAAGCCGTCCATCTGCTTATAGAGAACCCAAATTTCCTCAGGAATCGAATGGAATAGGTTTTAAGGCTCTATCTCTCATAGTTTCCGAGATAATCGCGAAAAACGAAAATGCCAAAAAAAATTAATTTAATTCATCTTGTATAGGGTGTAGGAAGTGGAAAAACGCAATTCTGAGCCGTCCATCTGCCTATACGGAACCCAAATTTCCTCAGGAATCGAATGGAATAGGTTTTAAGGCTCTATCTCTCATAGTTTCCGAGATAATCGCGAAAAACGAAAATGCCAAAAAAAATTAATTTAATTCATCTTGTATAGGGTGTAGGAAGTGGAAAAACGCAATTCTGAGCCGTCCATCTGCCTATACGGAACCCAAATTTCCTCAGGAATCGAATGGAATAGGTTTTAAGGCTCTATCTCTCATAGTTTCCGAGATAATCGCGAAAAACGAAAATGCCAAAAAAAATTAATTTAATTCATCTTGTATAGGGTGTAGGAAGTGGAAAAACGCAATTCTGAGCCGTCCATCTGCCTATACGGAACCCAAATTTCCTCAGGAATCGAATGGAATAGGTTTTAAGGCTCTATCTCTCATAGTTTCCGAGATAATCGCGAAAAACGAAAATGCCAAAAAAAATTAATTTAATTCATCTGGTATAGGGTGTAGGAAGTGGAAAAACGCAATTCTGAGCCGTCCATCTGCCTATAGGGAACCCAAATTTCCTCAGGAATCGAATGGAATAGGTTTTAAGGCTCTATCTCTCATAGTTTCCGAGATAATCGCGAAAAACGAAATCGCCAAAAAAAAAAAATTTAATTTATCTTGTATAGGGTGTATTTAAGATTTTAGAAGCGGGTAAAGTATTGAAGGGGTTGATAAATGAAATGGAAA